ACATAACAAATATATGTGGATATAAACCTAAAAGCAGCAAATGAACAGGACAAACAGAGACTCGTGGACATGGACAATAGACTAGTGGTTACCAGAGGGGAGGTGGGAGGGGAGAAGGTAATAGATGGGGTAGGGGTCGAATATGTGGTGACAGAAAGAAATCTAATTATGGGAGGTAAACACACAATGTAAATATATATATGCCCTACTGTTAAAATGTACAGCTGAAACTTACTGGATTGCATTAACCAATGTCACCATAAAAAAAATTAATTAAAGTGACTTAAAAAATAAATAAAGCATTTATTGAAGTCCATTTATTCAATACTCCCAGTAATTATTATCTCAATTTAAAGGTGAAGAAATGAGATTCTGAGATATCACATTTCTTGCTGAATTTATAACTAATAAATGGCAAAGAGTCGCAATTTGAACCCAAGTCTGACTCCAAATGGATAGTTGATACTCTTAACTATTATGCTTAATCCTGCCGCATTTTCTTCTTCTACTTTCACAGTAAATAGGAACAATTTCCCATCCTCTCCTGATATCTTGTTTACCTTCAAAATGGTGTCAAGATTTTCCAAATGTGGGTCTTTTACCACCAAACTCTGGAGCATCTCACAGAATGCCTGAAACGTCTGCCTGTAGAGACACTGAAAAGGCAAAGCATCAGTGATGCCTCCTTATACGAAGTTCCCCAATATCGTACACTTTTAAGGCTCTCATAACCTCAGATTTTACTCAAAGGCGCAAAACCAGTGTGAAAGTACTGGTAGGCACTTTGTGACCTGAGGTGAAACAATATATGTTCATATTACATGGACATCTCGGCATCACGGGCAACATAGTCAACTGATTCTAACTACATTTGGGGTCTTACTTAGGGTCATCACTTTTAAAGTTTGAATTGTGACTCTGATATCTTGAAACAAAGGCTAACAAAATCCCCTCTGGCGACTACTTTACCACCCAGTCTACTAGTGACAGAAAGAAATCAAGGCCTTTGCATTTCCTCCTCTCTCTCCCTGAAAGCTTCTCCTCCAGAGATAGCCATACTCTCTTCAACTATCACCTCATCTGGGAAGCTTTCTCTGACCGCACTATGTAAAAAAGCCTCCCAACCACGGTCCTCTTCATCCTCTTTTTTTCCTGTTTTATCTTTTTCATAGCACTTACCACCACCTGATATTATATTCACCAGCGGTTTGTATCTCTGCTACTAGACGTAAGCTCCCTGGATGGGAGAGTGTGTTGCTGTATTTCTGTTGCTCATCATGATGTTTATTTAGCACACAGGAACCCTAAAGACCTGCTAAGTATGTGAACACTCCGCCTTATTTTAAAGCCAAAAGCAAGGAGAGAAGGAATGAGGGGAAAAAGAAAGAAGACAAAATGAAGAGGAAAAAAAAAAGGCAATTTAACCACCTATTTTATTTACTAGACTTCGCTTAAATGGTTTTTGGCTAGTTCCGAAAAATCAATTGTACTCTCAAAAGGCTAAGATCAGCTGACCCTGAGGATGCCAAATTATTACAGCGAAGTGTACGTTACCTCTGAGTTGTAGGACCCACTTGGCATGACTTCCTGCAGCTGGGTAAGAGTCTTTACTGAGGGCAGAGTGATTATACTTTTGGTGATAAGACTGAACAAGTCAACTCGATCTTCAGAGCCAAACAGCAAATGGACATCTTGGTAACTAAGAAAAGACAATTTGGGAATAGCAAGCTGGCAAGAGTTTGATTTGACATTAATAAGCAGCAACCGAAGTAACCCAAAAGGAAAGGGTAGACTGATGGGTATATCATTCTGATGAAAGTCAGTCTGTTTGGTTATATCTCATGGAAGGTTAGAGGAAGAGTTTCAGGCTCTGAACCTCTATCTTTCTCCTCTTTTCCTCTCTGCCTCCCCAGGAGGTCACTGGAGTAACATTTTTCCAGGCTTTCCTCCAGCTCAACCATGGAGAGAAGCCTGTTACAGTCTAATACAGTAAACCACGATTTTCCAAAGTGTGTTCTGGTCAATGTTTATTAGTTTGGGAAATGGAGGGTTAAACTAAGTTTAAAAAAAAAATTTTTTTAACTCCAGGACTTCTTGGGACATTTAACCAGTTAATGTGCAGCACAAAACTCCAAGAAAGGTAAACAGCAGACAGCCCTTCCAAGTTTCTTGGACTATAAAACTCCACTGTCATAAAGCATATATGGAAGTAACTTTCCATTGAGTATACTCGGGACAAAACTGAACTACAAAGAGGTTCCAATAAGATCTTTCAGATACGGATGGTTGGATACACAATATCAAAGTTCTTACACAAAAACATGGATTTGGCTTCCTCTTCTCTATCTAAATAGTTCTGAGAAGTTAAAAATATGGAACACGTCAGTTGGTTTTGGTATTGGCCCCAAATGAGGAAACAGGATGCATGTGTAAGGGGCATGTGGGTGTCACCTGAGGTCAGTGATGGTGACAAAGACCTCCTGGCGCACAGGGCTGAAGAGAGAATGCAGGGGCTCCTCTTCCACCAGCATCTGCAATGAGAAAGAACTTCAGAGATGAGAATGTGCCAGGTCATTAGGCCAAATGATCAGAGATGTGGGCGGCCTGCAAAAAACAATAGCAGGTCTTTCAGTGGGCTGTGTTCCTGGTAGGATAGTGGCCAGGCTAGGAGTTTCTTCTCTGGAGCCAGACCCTGAGGCCTGACTCTGCCTCTTACTAGCTGTTTGAGCTGAAACCAGTTATTTAACCTCCCTGTATCTCAGTTTTCTCATCTATAAAACGAAATAACAATGCTACTTACCTTTATGGGGTGGCTGTGAATATTAGATGAGCTAATTCATAATACCTATAAGTCCTCAATAACTGAGATAGTGTCTGGTATTCACTGTTCTTATTACTAGTGCTTATTTCCAGTGTAGGCATTTTAACTTCTGTTCCTACTAACCCAGTCATCTGTACTACAGTACCTAATAGTATTCTAAGTTACTTGTCCTAGAAAAGGAATAACTTTCCAAATTCCAAATTGGCAGAGGGAAAGCTGCCTTGCTCTGCTGGAAAAATCTGCAGAGTGACAGAGAAGAAAAAACAGAGGCTTTGGAGCCAGATAGCACCTGGGAGTGTGCGCTGGCTCTGCCACTCACTCACTGTGTGACCTGAATGTACTAGCTTCCCTATCTGCCTGAGTTTCCTTATCTGCATGGAGGAGATAAGAATATATCTCAGGGCCCTTGAGCCACTCTTCTCTTGCTCAGGTCCACTTTCACGTCTGGAAGTGTACTGTTGCTTTACTCTCCCTTCCAAGAAAGCTATTCTTTTGCTGCTGTAAAAAACAAACAAACAAACAAACAAACAAATATATATCTATCTATCTATCTATCTATCTATCTATCTATCTATCTATCTATCTATATCTATCATCTATCTCAGGGAGTTGATGTGAAGAGCAAATGTAAATGGCTGTAGTGGAAAACTCATTGGATTGACCACCCGGTCTCTCTGGAAACTGCTCCCAGCCCACAGGAGCATCTCGCAGTCATGTTTCTGCTAAGTCATTCTGTCCCACTAACCACAGGTCATCTGTCCAGTAGATACTAAGGTGAATTAGATTCTTTCTCAGTAATCTGGAATTGAGACAAAGGGCTTTAATCTCAGTCTGGCTGATCGACCCAAAGGAAAAAATTTAAAGTTTAGGAGTAATGGGCCCTATGGACAAGGTAATAGAAAGCCAATTTTGAGAAGAGAGGAGAAGGGAAGGAGGAAGGGAGAGAAAGAGATAGAGAACTGGAAATGCATACAAAGGTGCAAAGATAAGAGATGGAGAGAAAATTCTCCCTGAGTATGTGAAAGTTTATGTTTATTTATTTTTTTCTTTTTCTGGTTTCATTCCCTTCCTGGAGCAGACTGCTCTTCCTGTCATAGGATTCTGCGAATATTCAGTTAGCCTAAGAACAAATGTCTCCTTTGGTGTTTCAGCTGCTTTTAATGGATTTCTCTTACCTGTCACAAAACAAAACAAACCAACCCTCACTAGGAACTGAGGTAGTGTCCAGGAGGCAGTGCTCAATAAATACTACCGTGTTCTATTTCTTGCCCCTTTTGGAGTTTTTCTCTTACTTTTCAACTCTGGTCAGATCTTGCCGGTGGCCTGCTGCTGTTCTTCCTTATTTCCTTAAGGAACTTAGTTATTTTTATGGCTTTATAGTGTGGAAGGAACAAAGCATAAGGCTCTGCCTTCAGCCTCCCAGTGCACTACTCGCCCAAATTTAGTTACCTCATGGGCATCGCCACTAAGATCACAGCTACAACCTGGCAATTTGGTGTTAAAAAGTGAATTCATTATCTACCCCCCTCCCCAGACTTCAATTGTTGTTAACGGTTCCCTTTCCCAGGGCTCATAGAAAAGATGGTTTATGATTTTTTTCTTCTTTATTCACTTCCCACATCCAATCAATCACAGCGATGGCCTCCCTGCTCTGCAGTTAGATTCTCCATCCCTGCTGTCATATCTCACATGTGGATGAAGGCGGTGCCCTCTTAACTAAACCACTAGGCCTGCATTCCCTTCTGACCTCAATCTACTAGACCACTTCTGCCAGAATAACCTCTGTTTTCTTTTTCCTTTTTTACTCGGTGAGGTCTGAAAGGCTTATTATTTACCCACAATTATGCTAATCACTACAGGGAACTCAGAAGTGAGAGGCAATTTTTTTATTTGTAAAGTATTTGTGTAGTAGAACCACATGGGGTGCCTATCCAGATCACAGCAATCACCCCTTCACTGAGAACTGCCTCCAATACACAGAGAAGGATACCCAGAAGTCATATCATTACTTTATGATGCTGCCCCAAGACACACCTGGTGATGCAGGAATGGAGAACAGACCCAGTCTGGTCTAATCAGATTCTCTCTCCCAGAATTTGGAATTTTAGTGATAGACACAGACTGGAAGCCGCTGGAGGTTTGGCCCTGCCTTTGAAACCCCTGGAGCTGTCCTGGAACTTGCTCTTATGTAGGCTTGATTATTAAACCTCTTCCTTAGATTCTAAGGGAAATAACCCAGCATCCTTTGTTTGTTTTGTTTGGTTGTTTTTAACTTAAGTGAGCCAGAGTTGATTGTTGTTGCTTGCCCCAAGAAGAATCCTAACCAGTTTTAACAAAATGAGATATTTTGTCTCAAAAGTCTTAATGAAAGCCAGAGATATTACTACCTCCATTTTCTGGGTGAAGCTAGATGTTAGTGAAGTTAAGTGATTTGTCTAAGATCACACAGGTTGTGCTTGACAGAATTAGAACTAGAAATTGTGTCTTCTGATTTCCTAAAGTAGCTCCCTTTCCTCTCTACTCTTCTGCTTCAGGGAGCTCAAACTCTTACTAGGACAACTGGACAGTCTTTTCATATTAGTTCAGTCCACTGTGAAATAGCCTCTGAACTCCTTCAGCATTTCTTATCCATACCACTGAAGAGTCTTCCTGAAACATCATTCTCATCAATTTCCTGCCTTGCTGCTCAAGTTATATCACATTGTCACAGTGCCTCTTCAATGTTGAGTGCACTCTTTAACTACTTACCAAACGACAACATAGTAGTAGGGTTTTGTGGAGGACTTCAGATGCAGAATTAGGGTAGAGACCCAAGCTAGTAGAGGAGAATTATGAGGTACCAGGGACAAGTCTGGCTATATTAAAATTCTACTACAGTAGGTTTTGGTGCCCCTGCCTGCTGTTGGGCACCACTGGCTATTCTGCCATATTGCAGGATGTTGAACACTGGCCTTGGCATAGCCAGGTAATTTATCATTTAAAGCCCCTACCCACTGAGTTCTCTCAACTCTATTTATCACAACCTTCAAAGGTTAGATCAGGAGAGCTATCTGAATTAATTTTACTTCAATCTTGTCATTACTTTACTCTAAATTTCAGTTGCAATTTTTTTCTTTTGCATTTTTTTTCTTTTAAAATTCTCAACAGCCTTTATGTAGTTTTTTTGATTTTGAGGTAAGAGACGCATGATAAACTGTACATATTTAAAATGTATAGTTTTTGATTTTTGACATATGTATACATCCATGAAACCATCACCACAATCAAGATCATAAACAAAGAGATCACTCTCAAAGGTTTTCTACTTTGTAATTTCTCTTTCTTGCCCCTCCCTATTCTGCTTCTATTTCCAGGAAACCACTGGTCTGATGTCACTATAGGTTTTGCAGGTTTTAGATTTTTATATAAATAGAATCACACTGTGTATATATATATATACACAGTGTGATTCTATTCTGCCATATGTGTATATATATATATATACTCACACACACATATACACACACACACATACATACATATATATACATACATACATACATACATACATATATATACGTGTGTGTGTGTGTATATATATATATATATATGTATATATATATATTTTGGTCCAGCTTCTTTCACTCAGCATAATTATTTTGAGATTTGTCAAAGTTGTAGTATCAATAGCTCATTCCTTTTTATTGCTGGGTAGTATTCCGATGTATGGATGTACTAAAATGTGTTTATCTATTTATCTGCTGATGGACATTTGGGCTGTTTCCAATGTGTAGCTATTACAGAGCTGCTTTGAACATTTGTGTACATGTCTTTGTATAGGCATGTGCTTCATTTTACCTAGGAGTAGAATAGCTGGGTCATGTGGTAAATGTATACGTAACTTTTAAAGAAACTGCTAAACTGCTTCCCAAAGTGGTTGTGCCATTTTACATTCCCACCAGGAGTGTATGAGAGTTCCAGTTGCACCATGTCTCACCAACACTTGGTATTACCTTTCATATTCATTTTAACCATTCTAGTTGGGGTATAGTTAAATCTCATTGTGGTTTTAATTTGTCGTTCCCTAATCACAAGGATGGAGCATCTTTTCATATACATTTATATATCTTCTTTAGTGAAGTATTATAACAGATTTTTTCCCTTTCCTTAGCCTCTTTAGTTCTTTTTATTTCGATATTGGAGAGTCATACATCAGCATAAGTCATGAGAAGACTGGAAAATGCCTTAAAATTCTTTCTTTATAATGACCCTGGCTTTCTCCTCCAATGGCTTCCTCCGCAGAACCACCTCTCCTCTCGGGTGTTGGGAGCTGCACCCTTTTAGCTCCTGCACATGCACTTGTAGGGACTTCGTAGACTTGTACAATGATACAGTGATCCAAGCAATTCTCTCATGAACACCCACTACCCTTAACTCTTCAAGACTGAACCCTCTGCTCACCCACTCTGGTTGATATCCGACAGTGAGTATTTTAATACTGGCTGGACAGGTCCAGATGCAGAGTGCTTTTGCTGTTTGAGACTTGCATGTGTGGATCTGCTGAGCTGGCTGGTTAAACCATGTGGCAACCCATTGCTGCCAATTCTTGTGGAAGTAGGACTTTGGAATCATGCCATCTGGCTGGGTCCTATGGCTGCCTATACTCCTCTTTCCATGGAGTACAGCCAAGTAGAAAGCTGCGTTCATTCTGAAATCTCCATTACATCGTTCTGTTCTTTTTGATGTATTGTTTGGAATACTTCTCAACCTATTTATGAGGTGTGGTCATTTCCAAGAGGATTGTAAACTCTCAGAAGGCAAGAATTAATACTTTCAGGAAATGTGTATCCTTTAGCAAAGCACCAGAGTGTTCTAGATACAGAAGACCCTTGATAACTGTCTATTGCTGGACAAACCTGTTAACTGGTTAGCCTCCAGTTCTGAAAACTAATTATCATTCTAATTAGCCTTACAGATCTGTAGGTTGAAAAAAACTGCTTATTTTCCTGGAGTGTATAAGAAATCCCAGACTCGGAATTTTAGAGCTTTAGAGAAACTGGAGGGGACATTTCACAATGAGAAAAGTAAAGCATCAAAAAGTTACATGCTTGCTTAAGTGTGTCTCCTCTTTCATAAAGCCCTTCTGGATCCTTTGACATGGAATTGACCACTCGCTCACTCCTCTGAGCCCTCACTATACCTATTTAAACTTTTGTCACAGTCCCTGTAAGTGTTGATTGATTACACCTTACTTGGCTGCAAGAACAGGAGTTATGGCTTCTTTTTCTTTGTAGTTCCAATTCCCAAGATACTGCTTGGAATTTTCAGGCACTTAAAAAGGCAATGACTGAATGAGTTAGTGGCAGAGTGTGGCTGGAGTTAATTAATAATAGGATGAAAAACAATAATTAAAAGAATACAATCATGTTTCTCAGATGCAAAATATGTGTTAGGAACCACGCTACCTAACATTTATTTATTTTTCATTTATTTCTTATTTAATACTCTCAATAGCTCTGTGAAGTAGATACAGTTGTTCTTATTTTATAGACGAGGAAACTGAGGCACTGAGAAGTTAGTAGTTTCCCCAAGTCGCATTGCTAGAAAGAGGCAGAGCTGGTACGTGAACCTTGGCATTTGATCACAGAGTCTGCCTCAAAACTACGGCTTCATTAATGAGAATGCAGCATTGTTTTTACTGAGAAATTTAAATGCTGTTCCTCTCCTTTCTACTCCTGTTTCAATTAGTTTTCAAGGATGATTACTGTGTGGAGTACTCCTGAGTATTTCTCCTTCATGCAGAGATACTGATATGAGAAAGGGATAAAACCACTGAAAAATTTGTTAGCCAGGTCACTGAATTTGCATGGTCCCAATAACTGTGATAAGGTCACAATACTTACATTTAGGATATGCACAATGTCTGCTATGTGGCTGTGAATGAATGATTCTGTGGTTTCATCATAGGGTAAAGTTCGGCTGAGAGAAGACAAAGATCTTAGGAATGTCAGCTTCTCAAGTTCACTCTGAATTTGTGGAAAAATGTTGAAAATACAATTATACATTATAACCTCACTTAATAATTGTAGTAGGCTTTTGAAAGTTTCTTGGAATGTTTTAAACATCTGACATCTCATTCAATCCAATATCGGTCTTTTATTTAAGAAATGAATAAATTACAGAGGACTAAAATTCCTTGTCCACGGGCCCTGCCTGGGTTTGGGACCTCATTTTCCCTCTAAGCTAGATTACTAAGTGCTTCATGATGGCTCTCCGCACCATCAGTCTTTGCTTCCCCACCTACCCACCCTGTATATTGCTGTCTGATTTAGTTTTCTAATGGTGATATCTGATGCTGCTACTTCTAGCTCTCTTGATGTTATTAAGGATTCATTATTCTGAGTCTTTAAAATGAGCCTATTAAAATGCAAGTTCTGATTTGAAAAATAATATCTCTTTTGTATTATTCTCTTTTCCTAAATATAAAAGTACTATTTATTAGAGAAAAGTACTATTTATTAGAGAAAAGTACTATTTATTAGAAAAAATAAAGAATAAAAAAGAAAATAAAAGACATCAATAATTCCACAATCTTGAAAAAATTTCTTTCAGTTTTTCCCCCTTCTACATATAGATGGTATAAACTGGTATAAGCTCTCTAGAGAGCAAGTAGCAATACACAGCAAGAAGCTAATTTCACAGCCTGATACTTTCTCACCTGGATTAGTATAACAATCCAACACTGGGTTTCTCTGCTGCAGTTTTGCCCCTCTTCAATCTATTCCCCTAGCTCTACTAGATTCATCTGTTAAAAACTGCAAATTTGTTCAGGTAAACTCCCTATCAAAAATCTTGTAATTTCACCCATGGGGGTCAAGGCCCTTCCCAATGTGACCCCAGCTAATCTCTTCAAATTCATCTCTTGCCTTACCTGACAGCACTCTGAGCTTTAGCTAAATTAACTTTCATGCTGCCCTTTCTTGCTTCTGGGTCTCTCTGCACCTTCTGAATTCTTTACGTTTCTTTTTGTTTAGTGACTAAAATCTATATCTCCTTTAAGACTCGGATCGTGCATTTTCTCCTGAAGCAGGGGCAGGTTCTCTTCCTAAGTATATTCATAAACTACATGTGTATATTGCTATTGTGGCATTTGTAATACTCTGACAAAATTACCTTCTTATTCATTTACTTCCTTGACCAGCTGTGGATCCAGGTCAAGGCAGGAAATGGACTTTCCCCCACAAATTCACTGTAGCAATCCAAGCCCTTTATTCATTACAAAGAAACCTTTTATGACATGAAGTATAAAGAATAGTCTGAGTCAAAAGTGAAGACCAACATTCTGACTTTAAGTGTTTTGTTTTTAATTTTTTTATTGGCATTATTTATAGAGAAAATGTAAAGCTTGATGGATTTTCACAAACCAAAAATATTCGTGTGTGTGTATATATATCCAAAGGAAATGAAATATGGATCTCAAAGATACTTGCACTCCCTTGTTCATGCACCATCATTCACAATAGCCAAAATACAAAAACAACCTAAGTGTCTGTGGACAAATGACAGATACCTTCGACACTATGATTTAAACATACCAAGTTTCTTTGAGATCATCAAATACGTTCTGCTCCTTTGTGCCACAGGTTTTTAAGCACAACATTTCTTATTTCTGGAACATTCCTTCCAATTCTAACTTCTCCTAGTTTCTCTTATTCACTCCTTAGATCTAAGCTCAAGTGTTACTTCCTCAGAAATGTCTTCCTTTACCCCCAGGTTAAGATAAATTGTTCTGTTAGGTAAGCTTATGAAGAATGAATGAATGTTTCACCTAAGCAAAGGAATACTGTATTAAGTTGAATAATATAGATTTATAGCTATTGATCTAAAAAATTTTTTTCTCCTATCATCTCTGATGTTTATTTTTCTATAATTGCATGCATTTGTATGCACGCACACACAAAAACCTGAAAATAAATATATATACCAAAATGTTAACAGTAGTCATGTCAGGAGAGTGGGATTAGGGAAAATTAATTTTTAACTTTTTTATTATCGTTTTGTTTTTATAGGAATTCTATAATTTTTATAAATATAAGTATAAATATAAATACAACTTATAAATGTTTATAAAGATATAAATATAAAAATATGTGTAAAAATATAAATCAATTTTATAGCCTATAAGTTATTTGTATAATAAAGAAGTAATAAATGTTTAAAGTATTTGTTAAAATGGAGGAATAAGTTGGATAACTCATAAAGATTGTTTGTCATACCTTTAGCTCCCCATTAAAAAACTCCTGGATGGATTCGATCAGCTTCTCAACAGTGGTCTCGCCGAGGGGGCCCTGGTGGGTCAGGTGTCTGAAGCTATCTGTGAGGGATTCCTTTGGGAGTCCAAAGATATCAGAGATGTCCGAGTCTAACACTAAAAGAAAGACATCAGATGCTGCCTCTGTGCTACATAAAGTTATATAGTTTAGTGGGGAGAACCACTGGACATCAGGAAAGATAGGTCCTGGTCTCATGTCACTATTTGCTCTGACACTTGGACCAAGTTCTTTTCCCTATCTAAGTCTGTTTTCTCAATCGCAATTCAATGTTTTCAAAGGACCTTCTAAGCTATAAAAACCTTTAAGACTGAGCTATAGCAGGGTGGTTAAAAGATGGACTTTACATCTGTTTCAGATTGGCTGGAATCCTGGCTCTCCCACTTATTAGTTGTATGACTTTTATCAAGTTAGTTTGCCACTCGGAACCTTAGTTTCCTCACCTGTAAAACAGGGTTATTGCGAGGAAATACATGCAAAAGACTTATTCCAGTATGTGGTCCATAGTATGTACTTAAATGGTAGATATTATTCAAATTCAAAAGTCTATGACTCTGTGGTGACAAATGCTCAAAAGACAGTAGCAGTCCCTTGCTGATCACTTCCCACTAGACCAGGATGTAGTAAGTGCTTCAGGTATCTCCTTCTTGACCTGGGATATACTCTGATTAAGAGCACAGGCTACAGAATTGGTCTGCCTAGGCTTGGATCCCTGCTCTGCCTTTTCTAGTATTCTGACCTCGTGTGATCTTACTTTCTCTGAGCCTATTTCTTCATTTCCTAAATGGAGATAATAATAGAACCTACCTAATTTGGCTGATATTTGGCAAATATTATCCCTTTGCTCACTGAGTGACAATAATTATGGCGGCATCATTTTCCTCTTCATGTAGTTTTATATACATACTTTCTCTGTTTTCCAATACCAAATCCCTATTCCTCTTGGGCAAATAGTCTTACTATTTCTCTCTTAATATACCTATCATCTGGGGGTTTCTACCATTCCACTTTTGTACTCCTTTTGGTCTCCTGAATTATATAGCCTCTTCTGTAAATTCCTCCCACTCGCTGCCACATTCTTGTCATCCACTAGAAGCCCTGTTCTCATTCACCTCTCTGCACAGGCTTTCCTTCTGCTTGCATGCTTCTCCTTCCTCTCCCCAACCTTCCCTTACCTGTTCATGCCTATCTAATTCCTACTCATCCCTCAGGGCTTGGCTCCAGGATGCCTTTCCTGAATCCCCTTTTTGCCCATTTTTCATCCCCTTAGCCACTAATAGACCGCTCTATATTTGCTCCTTACTCCAATTCCACCCCCAATTACACATATTATACTGAGTTGCAGTCATTTGTTTATCTATGAGTACACTGTGACTGTTTTGTTCACTGCTATATCTCTAGCAGCTAGATCAGTGTTTAGAATGCAGTAGGGCTTCAATAAATATTTCTTGAATGAATGTACAAATGAGCGAATGTAGTTCTTCAAATACACCATAGTCTTTCCTTTCTCGTGCACATGCTGTCCTACCTACCTGGAATACTCTTCTCTCTACTTCTCACATGGGTTGCTCTTTCATGTCCTTGATGTCTCCTTTAGGTTTAAATAGCACTGTCTCAGACAAGTGTTCTCTGGCAGACATGATTGAAAGTAGGTTCTCATCCCTAATTTTTTGTCTCAGCCCCTTGTTTGATTCTTTCATGGCGTTTTACTACAACTTATAATTACTTTATTTTACTTTCATTGTCTGTTAATTTAGTTTGGTCCTTTTCAGAACTATAATGTAAATTCCGTGAGGGCAGGGACCATGTCAGTCTTGTTCATTTTTGTGTGCCTAGCAAATGGTATTTAATAAATGTTTGTAGACTACATGAAAGGTAGTTATTCTGTAGCTCAATCCAGGTTCCACCCACACCTACCTTTGCCGTCTCAGAATCCTTCTACCACTTAGACTCTGTGCAAGTTAGCAGGATTCTTTGTCTCTGGACCAAGTCTAGTCTCCTGTATGTCTAGACTAACGTTCTTACTTCATTTTGCCAACCATATTCCAAGGTCTTAAAGTCAGGGACCAAATTTATTGTCAAAGTCTAGTCAAGGTCTGGTCACCCAGCCATTTGACTTGAAAAGAGATACCCACCCCTCGCCCCTTTCTTTATCCTTTTCCCTTTTCACCTGTAAGTTCAAGGCTACTTGGGCCTTTTTTAATATCCTCTAAGTTGCTCAGCTGCAAATCCACACTTCCTGAATCACTGTCAGAAGCACAAGGGATCACTACTTCTTCCCGACTACAGATTCTAGGAATAAAGAGGGGATTAGAAAAATTAGTTTTTCAGGGCTGCTTCTGTCTCATCATCACTCAGGTAAAAGCTTAAATTTCACCTTCTCAGAGGCATATTGATCACCAATCTAGGTTAAGTAGCCTCTCCCCACCCCAGTGCCATAGTATTTAGTCATCTACAATTATCAAGTCCATTTGTGTTTGTTTATTGACTGTCTCCTATTAGACTATAAACTCCAAGAGGAGAGAAATCTTGTCTACATGGTTGTAGGTGTATCCCCAGCATTTAGCATATTGTCAGCCTCATGGGGAGTGAATGGATAGGTAAGAAATACTATGCCACTGTTAAAAAGAGACTGAGATAGAACACCCCCCGCACTCTTTCTTTTTCTAAAGCACACAACACCTAATATATCATTCACTCATTTATGACATTGTTTATTGGATAATAGTTTTCATATAGTAGAGGAATATTTCCTCAAGTTTTTGTGCTATTCATAATATAAAGTCTATAGACATAACACATTTTAAAGTTTAACCTCTATTAACATCTTATCCACCATTAGGCTCAGACAATAACAAAGCAATAAACTGTTAACCTAAAAATAAAAACGCCTTTCAAAGGGAGAGGCAAACGTTTATTTGAGATCAGTAAGAATAGCTATTTGGGAATCATTATTCAGGTAGAAGACCAAATAATGTTCTGATTAGGGGACAAAGGCAATGGGTATTTATGAAAAAGGGAAGGGGAACAGTTACATTGATACATGGGGGGAATTTCTAGTGATGAAGATAACATAATATAGTGGTGTTAATTCTAAACAATGTTTTTAATTTTCAGTTTAGTGTTCATCAGTCTATTAGTCATCAATACTGCTTTCTTGTTATCTTTGCAAACAGTTCTTTGGGAAACTTGGTTGCTTAGGTCTAGTCTAAAGGTTCTTTTGCCCTGTTTTAACATTCCAAGGTTTGAGACATAAGGGTGTTCATCAGTCTATTAGTCATCAATCTTTGCAAACAGTTCTTTGGGAAACTTGGTTGCTTAGGTCTAGTCTAAAGGTTCTTTTGCCCTGTTTTAACATTCCAAGGTTTGAGACATAAGATGTGCAAGGTAGTTCCTCTGGCATGGCATCTCCAGCTCCATTTAAAAAATGGTTTCGTTTCTATTATTGTTTACAAAATCAAGACCTGGTTTGCAGCATTTGCTGATTCTATGGTATAAATATTCCCATTGTGGGCCAAATTGAGCTACCGATGTTACTTTGGGAAGAAATGCGTAATAGCACACCATCGTATAGTATTTTCACTATACAGATATAATAGAGATAAGCAACCACAAAAGCATAGACAATGGTAAAATGTAGTAAAATGATTAGGAAATGACGAATTTTGTTTCGCAGCACCGGGGGCTGCTCCCCAGTGAGCGATCCTTCCCTCTGCCTGTGTGTATAAAAGGTTGCTTGCTCTTGGGCAGCAAAAGTTTTTTTTTAGCTGGCTGCCATCAGAGCCCCTCTGCCTCGTGAGTAATAAAAGGCATGTTTCACCCACTTTGGTCCTGCTGGTGGTTTTTTCGGAACATCCAAAGCCCAGGTGCAAGCAAATTCCAGACCTGGAGTTTCTGCCTTGCAAGTAAGCAGTTAATGAAATAGTCTAAATAGAGCGCTTAGTACACTGTCGGGCTATCCTGTTAACGCTCAATAAGTGGCGTTAGTTATTATTTAGTTCTTAATGAGTCACTTTCATTTTTGAGCCTGTTATTTCTTAATTCTGTAAACTTTAGTTAATATGCTCCTCAAAGCTTATTATGAAGAGTCGCTAAGTCCACACAAATGCTTTGCAAATCAGAAAAAACGTCAATCATAGGACAGTTATTAACAAATAAAACAATCTTTGGAGGACATTGCTATCATTTTCTACACAACAGAAATCAACCACTTTCTACTATCGCGGGCACTTCCCCCTGAACCTTTCCCATTCCTTTAAAATTGGCCGGGCTGAGAAGAGACAACTGAGTGACAGTGCGATCAGCCAATCAACGAGATAGGCCAATCAGAGGAAGCCCCGTCTCGGGCCCTCCCGAAGCCTCGTCCACTCGTGTCGCTGAAGCGCCCGGAAAAGGATCGTTGCGAAGCGGTCGGTTCCAAGTGGGCCCCGGCCCCGGGGGGAAGCAGACCTGGCCTGTACGCGAGGACTGTGGGGCCCTTTGTGCGCAAGCACTGGAATTCCGGTCGTGGCTACTGGGAGCGGCCCGGTCCAGCCGGACGGCGCGGACTGACCTGTGCTTAGAGCCCATCCCAGCACGCGGAGCCTGCTGCGAGTCCCCGGCGTCCCCTCCGGCGCTCTCCTGTAGCCACTTTCCCGAGCGGAAGTCAGTCTGCAGCTCGGGCCGTGGTGGGATCTGCTCCGAGGAATGGCGCCGCCGGGTGAGGCGTTGCGCATGGCTCGATGACAGGGCCCCGCGGCCAGCACCCCTCAGCGAGTGGGCCGTTGCCCGCGGGAGGCTAGTGCTCGCCACTCGGGAGCCGGCCAGGCGGGATCCCCTTGCCCTGCGGGCCAGGGGCATGGGCTCGGGTTCTCCGGGGATCGAGAGTCTGAGGGAGGGCTGGCGAACGAGTGGGACCGTCGGGGACCGTCGGGGACCGTCGGAAGGTGCTTCTGGGTACGTTGACGAGCTACGGGTCGCCCCGAGGCCCAGCCGGGGGACGGCGGCCGTGGTTAACCCTAGGTCTGGCTTCACTCATTCATTTGATTCCCTTGGGCTCCCGGGCCAGGCGGCTTAAGTGAGCTTGTGGCAAAATCGTCCTTCTTTGGGCCATAGTTTCCTTCTTAGCGAAGGGGGCAGAAAAATGACCTCTCTGGGAGCTGAGAGCAGAAGTTCTGAAGTTAGATTCTTCTGGTGCAAACTTGCAGTCTGCCACGTATTCGTTATGTGACCCGGCGCAAATTAATCCCTCTGCACCTCAGTTTCTCTTCTGTAACATAGCTTAGTTACATTGTCTCCCTCATAAACTGCTGAGTATTGAATCTCCGTGCATCGCTTAGAACAGTGCGTGGCACTGAGCCCTCAGTAAAGTTAACTGCATTACTCGTTAACTGCGTGGTGCCGTCTCCTGTAGTCTCCCGCAACTTGGGAAATGTGTACTATTGTTACTTCCACTTGACCAGATGATAGGGAGGATAGAATCCCAAGAAGGGAAGTCACTTGCCAAGGTAACAACAGTAAGTCAGTGGCTCGCTGCTCCATTATTTACAAGTTGAGGGTAATAGAATTGTTAACAGACTTTGGATTCAAACTGCCTACATTTTGATTCTCCGCTAGTTATGTGTCTTAGGGCAGGTAACTACTTCTGACTCCCCATTTCTTTGTCTGTGAACCCACTTGGATGTTGAGGATTTAGACTCAGCACATGCAAAGTATTTAGCATAGTATGGGTGTATACCCGACATATTAAGTATGTAAATTTTAGCCGAAAAAGGTATTGTTATTAATGTGAGGTGGGAAGATTAGGATTCTGACATGCTGAGTTAGGGGAATTTACAGTCTAGCTTGGGAAATGCTAGTCAGTCATTCACTAGATCTTAATATATTGAGTACATGCATGTACACAAGGCACTGGGGATTCAGCATTAGCATCTTGACTTCTCATTCTTTCACATCATTCTATCCGTTAGCAATTCTGGCTTTAACTACGAATTCTAGCCAGACTGTGACTACTTCTCACCACCTCTACTGCTGTCAAATGTTTCAGACCATCATCATTTTTTTACTTGGAGTATGGCAATAGTCTCTCCTAACTGGTGTCCCTCTTTAGGTCCTTACTCCTGTATAGTCTCAATACAGGATTGTTTATTCTCAACACAGTGATCCTGTTAAAATAGTCCAATCATTCCTCTGCTCACAACTTCTCAGCGACTCTCAACTTGCTCAGCAAAAGCCAGAGTTCTTAATGACTTTCAAGGCCCTCTGGATTTGGTCTCTGCTACCTCTGTTACCTTGTCCCTGTATCTCACCCTTTGCTTACTCTTCTCTGGCCATACTGTTCTTGTTGATGTAAGAAAACATACACACTCCTGATTCAGGGTCTTTGCTCTTGCTTTTCTTCTTGGGCTTGTTTCTCTTCAAGTATCTTCATGATTGGTTCCTTCTTTTCCTTCAGTTCTACTACGATATCTTTATTTCTCAGTTAGGCTTACCATATTTAAAATGCAGCTCTTCTCGGATATCCTTTCTGTGCTTTATTTTTAACCTAACATGTTAAATAATTTTTCTTAATTATTTTGTGTGATATTTTAATTTTCCCACTAGAATGTAAGCTTCGTGAGGTTGGGGTTTTTGTTTGTTTTGTTTCCTGCTGTATCTCTAACACCAAAACAATGCTTGGTGTATAGTAAACATTCAATAAATTTTTGATGAATAAATACTCCACATTATATAGATCTCTTTCTAGATTTTTTTTTTAAAGAGCTTTCACATTCTTTAACACACACAAGGACTTAAATAGAAGTAACTTTCATGCTCCAATGTAAGCATCCCTTCTACAACATCCTTCAAAAAATAGTGGAGTGTGAACACTACAGTTAGACCTGGGTTTGAGTCCGAGACGGGCTATGTGCAGACTGATCCTCAGTTTTCTTATTTGTAAGATGGACATAATAATCATAATAATGCCTTTCTTGAAAGTGTTCTGGTTCAAACTAAGTTTGACACTACAGGCAGAGGAGTTAGGACTGTAATGTTAGCCTCGCCACTGCTGTTACTTGGATGGCAGACAGTTCATGACACAGCCCATTCAAAAGTGTGTGTGTGATTTTTTTTTTTTAATGAAAAGTAAAATGTACCACTCCTATAACTTCTTATTTCTTTGGCATAGTAGGTGAAGATTAATTTTATTTCTATTTATTCAGCAAATATTAATTCAGTACTACTTTGTGCCAGGCAGTGTGCAAGACTTAGAAATATTGGGATTAACAAGAGAAACAGTCTCTATCAGCATGGAGTTTACAGTTTAGCAGAGGCATCAAACATTACACTATTACAATTATGAAAAATACTGTATAGAAGTACAGATTGCTATGAATGGATATAGTAACAACAAAAATAACAATGGTAATGAAGTAGTAGCTAAGGTTTAGATAGGCCTTGTTAAATGCCAGTCATATTCTTAGATCTTTGTGTATTAACTCATGTAATGCTCTTAACAACCCTGAGATAGGTGCTGTTTTTATCCCATTTTACACCTGAGGAAACTGAGGCACTGGCTGGCTGCATTGTAACTGCTGCAGCCACATTGCCAATAAATGGCAGAACTAGGATTTAAAGTTGTCCCCAGAGGCCATGTTCTTCAATGCTTTATAGTACTGGGATGTAACCCAAAGTAGGGCTGTCAGGGCACTTCTTAAGGAAGAGATACTTGAATTGGGATCAGGAAGTAAAATTTAAGCAAAGTTTAAGTAGGGGAAAGTATGAAAAAGTGCTAGGTAGTAAAGAACATGGCTCCTTAGAGGAACAGGGAGGAGGTCAGAGAGCCAAAGATGGAAGAAGAATAAGGGAAGAGATCTGGTTGTGAGGTGGGCAAAGCCATGGTGAAGATTTGGGGTTGGGTCTGTCCTGAGAGGCACCGGCATTAGTAATGTACTTGAAATGAAAATGGTGGGATGAGTCCTGTATTTTAGGCACATACAGGCTGCTGGGAGCATTCCTTCAGATAGTTGAAGACAGTTTCCACCACTTCCCCAAGGCTTTCCTTCAGGTTAAACCTCCCAGTTCCTTCACCCTTCCTTAGATGATTTGGTTCCCAGACCTTGGTGTGCATTGTCATTGGAACTATGTATAGAACTTTGGAATAGTGTGGAGTGTGTTTAATAGTCATTTTCCTCCAAGGTTCAAGCACTGTCTTCCTGTTGGCCCTGACAATCATAGCCAGCACCCAGGCTCTGACGCCCACTCACTACCTCACCAGGCATGATGTGGAGAGACTGAAAGCCTCACTGGACCGCCCTTTCACCAGTTTGGAATCTGCTTTCTACTCCATTGTGGGACTCAGCAGCATTGGGGCCCAGGTGCCAGATGTAAAGGTAAGGCTACTTTTGTCTTGCTGGCCTCATCTCTTCACTATGGTTTTTTCGTATACTTCATAACTAGCTCTTGCTTATTTGAAGATGACCAAGGGTAATACAATATGAAAAATACTTATATCAGTAGGCATCTTTTTTTTTGAATGCCTAATGCATATTTAGGACCATGCCAGGTGTTTTAGCAGAATCTAAAGAAGAGCAAGTCATAGATCCTCTAGAAACTTATCGTAGCTCTGAGTAAAACTGTACAATACTTCATATACCTGTTAAATGCCCCGCGTGTGGCTATTAAATAATGAAGGAATTCAAGATGGGGGGCATTCAGATTTATTAAACAGTCACTGTCTCTGCATCAGGCAATTTTGATATGCTTCTTGGACCTTTGATGAAGATGATGAAGAAAATGCATCACGATTAAAACCTTTCCTGGATTTAGGAACAGTCTTAAGTGAATTTACTTTTTATTTATTATAGTAGCATGGATAGCTAGGGTAAGAAATTAGGGCCAGGTTTCTTATATATAAGCCTTGTGTGTTAATTTTCTATGGCTGCATAACAAATTACCATACACTTAACAATTTAAAACAACACTCATTTATTAGTTCTGTAGGTCAGAAGTCCAGGCAGGCTTGGCTGGATTATCAGTTTAGTTTCTCAGAGTCAAAATGCAGATGTTAGTCAGGCTGGGCTTTTTTTTACCCGGAGGCTCTGGGGAAGAATCCGCTTCAGGTTCCTTCAGGTTGTTGGCAGAATCCACTGCATTATGGTTGTAGGTCTGAAGTCCCCATTTTCTTGCTGGTTCTTAGCTAAGGGCTGCTCTCTGCTTCTCAGTGCCACCCACATTTCTTCTTATGTGACCCCCTCCCCATTTAAATCAGTAATGGCATGTCCTTGCTCTTCAGATCTAGCTCCTCTTCTGCTACCAGCTGGAGTAACTTTCTGCTATTAAATGATTTACCTGGATGGGTCAGGACTGCCTGGGTAATTTCTGAATTTTAAGGTTAGCTGACTTGTGGCTTTAATTACACCTGCAGAATCCCTTCATAGCAGTTCCTAGATTTGTGTTTAAATGAGTAAGAAGTGGATGGAAATCTAAAGATGGCGTCTTTAGAATTCTGCCTACCCTGTATTAGCATAGGAACGACCCCAAGTCTCAGTGGCTTGTGACAAGTTTATTTTTTGCTTATACCGTATGGCCATCATGAGTTAGCTGGGCCTTCGTTCCACATTTCTTTAGTCTAGTATTTAGCGTGATGGAGCAGTCTATCTGGAGCCTGTGCAGAGGACAGATGAAAGCATGGCTCTTAAAATTTCCGCTCAGAAGAGATGTGTGGCACTTCTTTTATCTTTCTCATTTTGTTGCCTAAAGCAAGTCACATGGCCATACCTGGGATTGACAGATCAGGGAAGTATAATCCTTCAGAGGAGGAATGTGTTTTAGTGAATGGTCACCCCTGAGCCCCTTTGCCTCAGGGTTGCCTTTGGCTTCCTTCAAGATTCCTTTTCTGAGGAGAGTGGTGAATACCCTGACCCCCTGGTCGATAAGTTAGCATACTTTAGTTTCATTCATCCAGCAGTTGTTTACTGAACCCCTGTGCTAGACCCTGGACATACAGTGGTGAACCAGTCATAATCACTCGCCTGCAGAAAGCTGTAGTCTAGTGGAGGTTAAAAGAACAGCAGGTCTTTTATTTCAACCTTTCATTATGGAAATTTTCAAACATTCACAAAAGTGGTGAGAACATATAATGAACCTCCTTGTACCATGTGCTAACTTGAACATTTATTCACATTTTCCCATTTTTATTACATTTACTCTACCTCTGCTTATTAATTTTTTTTGCTGGAATGTTTTAAAGCAAATACCAAGCATACCATTTTACTTGTGTCTCTAAAGGGAACTTCTTTAACATAAAGACAATCCTTTTATTTCACCTAGCCACATTAACAATAATTCTTTAATGTATTTTAATTCCTGGTCTATGTGCAATTATCTAGAATTATCTGAAAAATGTTCTCTCGATTAGTTGGTTTGAATCAGGGTCTAAACAAGGTTCACACATTGCATTTGTTGATATCTCTCAAGACTTTTCATCTATAACACCCTACCCCATTAATACTTTTTATCATGGAAAAAGCCAGGTCACTTGTCCCAGAGAATTTTCCATAGTCCGCCTTTGATTGAGTACATCCTCATGCTGTTTTTGAACATATTTCCCTATCTCTTTCATTCTTATAAACTGATAGTTAGCTTTTGAGGTTTAATTATATTCAAGGTCAGTTTTCTGAAATATTTCATAGATGGTGCTGTATGCTTCCTATCAATGAATACATAATATCTAGTTGTTTCACTTTTAAGTTATAATAAAGTAGGATCAGTGGGTTCAGGTGTTGTCAGACTAATCTATCTCTCTCATAAATGGTATATAGTAGAGATTTTAAAAAAAAATCTAGTTTGACAATCTTTATTTTTTAATTGGGGAGTTTAATCCATTTATATTTAATGTGACTATACTGTTGAGTTTAAGTCTGCCATCTTATTATTTGTTTT